ATATGTTGGTATCCAAAGGAAGATCTTGTCACAAGGATTATATATGTGAAGTATGAAAGCCCTAGCACCAACCGCTCAAAAGTTATCGCCAAGGTTAAAGTTTTGCAAAAGTAGGTCAAACTCTAAGGTCTAAGGGTCAAAGTTGTTGGTATCTAATGGAAGGCGTTGTCACAAGTATTACATATGTGAAGTATGAAAGCCCTAGCACTAACCATTCAAAAGCTATGGCCAAGGTTAAGTTTTTTAATGTAGGTCAAACTCCAAGGTCAAGGTCAAAGTGTCAAAGTTTTTTTTTTGTATTGAAAGGAAGGTCTTGTCACAAGGATTACACATGTGAAGTATGAAAGCCCTAGCACCAATTGTTCAAAAGTTATGGCCAAGGTTAGCGTTTTTACAAAAGTAGGTCAAACTCCTATGTCAAGGTCAAAGGGTCAAAGTTTGTATTGAAAGGAAGGTCTTGTCGCAAGGATTACACATGTGCAGTATAAAAGCCCTAGCACCAATTGTTCAAAAGTTATGGCCAAGGTTAACGCGTTTTCAAGAGTAGGTCAAACTCCTATGTCAAGTTCAAAGGGTCAAAGTTTTTTTTTGTATTGAAAGGAAGGTCTTGTCACAAGGATTACACATGTGAAATATGAAAACACTAAAACTAACTATTCAAAAGTTATGGCCAAGGTTAAAGTTTTTCAAAAGTAGGTCAAACTCCTAGGTCAAGGTCAAAGTGGTTGGTATTCAAAGAAAGGTCTTGTCTCAAGGTGTACTCATGTGAAGTTTGAAAGCCCTAGCACCAATCATTCAAAAGTTATGGCCAAGGTTAAAGTTTGAAAAAAAAATTGCAAAAGTGGGTCAAACTCCAAGGTCAATAGGTCAAATTTTATGGTATCCAAAGAAAGGTCTTGTCACAAGGAATACACATGTGAAATATTAAATCCATAGCTCCAACCAATCAAAAGTTATGGGCAAGGTTAAAGTTTTTGCGGACAAACAGACAGACAGACAGACGGACGGACAGGGCAAAAACTAAATGCCCCCGAATCTTCGATTACGGGGGCATAAAAATCATAATATACTTATATACCGTAGTAACCTTGTCCGTTATTTATCTACTCTGCTTTTTAATTGTAGGATCGCACATTAAGTGTTGCCGATAGCCAAAATGTTTGGCATGATCGTGTTTTGTTATAAGCATTGTATCTTCATGTCAGATTATGCTTAGTTAGTAAAGTATATACAGGTTAAAGTTTTGTGGCCCCGGAGTAAAGAACAATTTAAAACATTTTGCCATGGATTTAGGGTTATAAAATTGGAGGGATAGAAAAGTAATATAGACCAATTCTACAAATGGATTGATTTCTTAGTGCTAGAATCAGAGAGTGCGATAACTTGGTCATGAAAAAGCCATTGAATGCAATAGTGTCTTGGAGTTTTGGTAGAACTAACAATTTACAGTTGACAATTTTCGATAAAGCAATTATAACACTTTCAAAATCACTCATTCGCTCAACACTAACTAAGGGTTTATATGGTCAAGAAATTCGGAACCTAATGAGGAAATATTCGTTTCAAGGCTGATGAGAGAAGACAAGTTCGTATATAGTTTTGCAATAAAATATTTTTATTACTTGACATTAAGTCAACGTGAAATTAATTGAACATCCATGTACATATAACAGGTTAACTATGCATTTTACAATATGATCTGCGATTTCCTAAACTCTGAATGATTGACGTTATTATTTTTGGAAAAAATGTAACATTATACCGAATATACAAGCACAGTGTATAACACTGAAAACTGGTCTATAGTTATTATTCCCTCGCAACAGAGTTGAAGATGATATAGTAACACAATTGCGTGTTTGTGGGTGGGTTAGTTTGTCGTGTGCGAAACGGAAGTGGCAAAATTTGCACGATCGAATGTTGCCTTGATATAATAATTATGTATATTTTCAATTTATTCATCTATTGTCTGATCTTCTCATATTCCAATCACACAAATAAAACTGAACGAGGGGATACTAGAATCCAACATACAGTATTTTGCTTTTCCAATTGTAAATTATAACCGAGTTGTGTGCAATCGGGTTTTAGTTAAGGACCCTCTATACACCACTGCAAAAAGTTTTTTGGATACTAAGAAAATTAAACTGTATAAATGTGTAAATATTGAGCTTATCTATTGAATTTTCAATATATGGTACGCGGCATTTACTCCCAAGAAAACGTTCAAAGACAACAGAGTATCAATGAACAGAAATCACTGTTGTTTACTTCAGTAGAGGAAATACATGCAAATAAACATCTTCGCTAGCCAAGGGTTTCTGATACGCTACTCTCCTCATAAGCCCTTGACATACGGTGTTAAAAAAAGTTGGGATTTTTTTCTCAAGTTGTGATTGGAGTTGATCGACATCGTTCGACGAATCAGATATAATTGTTTTTTGTAAATGACGATATTTGCGTTCGGGATATATCTTGACTCTTTAATATCGGGAATGAAAAACGCAAGTAAACAACGATCCGTAAGATAACATGCCATTCTATGAATAGCAATATGGTGTCATCCAATATCTTAAGCTACGTGCAAAATATGTGATTAAGAATCTATACTGAAAATGTAGATTTGCATTTTAACATGTTAACAAATTAACATAACTCAATACCTTCTAGTTATTTATTCTTTAAAAACATTATGTTTTTAAATACGCTTTTTATTTCTGTCGATGACGCAATCAGTGCGAACCTGGTAAGAATCGTGATCACGTGACGAAAACAATCCCGTCTTTTGTCAACACCATATGCCAAGGGTTTATGAGGAGAGTAGCGTATCAGAAACCTTTGGCTAGCGAAGATGGCAAGTAAAGTGTTCAGTTAATTCATAATTGCCTTTTAAAATGTTCAGAATACTTGAATTGATCACAAATTGAATAAGTCACTGAAGATATCAATTTATTTGAATTCATATCTAAGGACAGTTCTCTCTGACTGCATGCAGAAAAATACCACAGAATCAGAACTCTTCAGTCTGCAATGTACATGTAGAGAGGGGTCTTCTCTATTCTCCCAAAAGAACACGCAAATATATTTGCCGACTAGCCCAAGAAGCATATCAGGGAGCCGGAAGTTTATTATTGTACATTCGACAACTATAATACACATTATATAACAATACAAATGTATACATATAAATAACACAAAAAATGCTTATAACTGATGTGAAACTTGATTGGCCAGGGTGAAAACCAGAGATAAAAAACTTAAGGTTTTTGGAAAAAAAACCCTCTGCAAACCTTTGCCCTATAATATACAATAGACTCTAAAATTAATCCTAAACAAGTACCTAACATATAATTAAAATTATATTTTAATAAAGTTTGATGTGTCTTCTTTCGAAGACGGGCTAGAACTAATTTCTCCTGCTATTCGAACACTTCTCATAGATTCATACCACGTGACTTTAAACTCCAATTTCATTGGATAACTTATTTCCGAATCTATAAGTCAATTATTTTCCGCTAATCTCCGTACCGCGGAAAATATTAATTCTTAACATCATATTTAGCTGCGTAGCTTGAATTACCTACGTACAGTGAAGTCGTAATTACAGGTTTACTTATCCACGATTGTCGGTATTTTTTAAGCATAAAAACATTTAATTCTTAACTGCGCTTGTCGTATGTATTTTATGCAATATTGTTTAAGTTGAAGCACAGAAAAATCAATAAATACACTGATCAAGAATTGATTTTTCTGTCTGTAATCAGCATTACAGAATTTTGAAAATCAAAATTTATATAATTTAACATTTTTGTTCACTGCAGCAAGACAAAAGTTGTAGTTAAACATTAAAATAGCTACAAAGTATGGCACTTGCATTCAGTTATATCTCAGAAATGTTTCATAAGGATCACTGCTCAAATAAATTTACACTAATTAATAAATCAAACTGTAGCAGCGGTCCACATACCTCATGACATGAGACATCAAAACTCAACATGCTCAATATTCAAAACGTAGTTTTTATTTACTTATTTACTTTTAGTATTCGCCAAGGAAAATATAAAAAGTAAAATTGTGTTTCCCTTGCAAAAAAATAAATAAATAAAAATAAAATAAAATTATCACCTCGCAACGAAGTTGGAGATAATATAGTAAAGCTTGTGTTTGTGTGTTTTAGGGTGTGTGTGTGAGTGTGTGTGTTTTTGGGGAAGGGGGAGGGGGTGCGTAACAAAAGTTTAGCAAGTTAAAAATTCCTATCAGGATTAATATGCTCTTTTGATACAGGATGCTCCGCTTTGCGGTGCCCTTGTTGTCATTACCCTATCAATTTTGATTGTTGAGCATAATGATTTTATACTTCAAGATGTAAAATCCGATTTTCTTACTACTCTTCATCGGTGTAGTCTATGTCTGCACGAATGCTAAAATAATTATTATTTACTTGTTTTTGTATAATACGATTATTTAGCAACATGTACTCTACTCCAGAAAATCAATGATCACCTCATCCTTATAGTCCTCAAGCAGCAACTATTGGAGTTGCAAAATCTTTTTTCGACATAAATTGGTTGGCAGACCAAAAATAATGTAGATTTTTGCAATGTATTAACAAACAGCATCGTTGAAGAATGGTTTTACTTACGGATTCTGTTTGCTATCTGTATTCTACATTTCAAAGATTAATTGATATCACAATATTTCTCTCTTAGAATTTTCTATGACAATCATTTTAGGTATGTTTCTTTCCATAGACAACACATTTATCAACTGGAATTCAATTCGGCAAAGCTTTTTTTTTTATTTCATATTTCACCTTTTAGTTTGGAATATGGTGACCATTCCCTTCTCATCAGATACATTGGACTAGTTAATTATGTAATTCTGTATATGTAACATGTATAGACATTAACCCCTTGAAGTGCGAAATATGATGCAAATTATAAATTTAATCCGCCCTCTTTGATAGGCGTGGCCTAACACTCTTTTATTATAAGATCCTTGATGCCAAAGACCTTCGCATACTTGTAGTTTAGATCGAACCATGCAGAGTTCAGGCTTACTCTGGATTGTATCTCTCACCTGCTTCCTAATTGCCTTAGGTGAGTATGAAATGGACTTAGTATCGAATTGAATTTCTTGCTTAGTGATACAGTTTGATTAGATTAAGTTTATAGATTGTAGGTTTATAGGTAGAATGCAACAGATTAAAAACACTTGGTTTTGAATTTACTTTTCTATGATAAATAAGTAGGAATAAGATGTGTTACCTTTTGATAAATACTTTCTTGGATAAATAAATTTTTGGAACAGTCTGTATTAACTACTAGTAATTATCTGTAAATGACACGTAAGAATTTTCTTCTGAATCGATACTTTGTGCTATTTTAAGGAAACCCTAATTAATATTTCTCACAGAATTCTAATTTAATCATTGCCTGTACTGACTTTAGGTACACGAAGATTATTTGTCTTTTTATTGGAGGAATTGCTATGCGCCTTGAAACCGGAGTCGTTTAATGATACATGTAACTACATTAAGATTTAGAAAATATAGCAATTCAAATTGTCATTGCCATTTTTGAACCTGTATAAAAAATTCAATATAGAGATTACAGTACAGTATACAATTAATTTGAAAAAGGTTATTTCATTTAGATACCAGAAAGAGATTGAGTCAAAATTATTATTCAAACATTTGTGTGTGTGTGCTCAAATCGTATAAATTGAAAATATTTTCTTTGGAAAGATATTAAATTTCTTTGGAAATATATTAAATTTCGAATTTCTAAGGGCATTGATCCAGCTTCATTAGTACCTTCAAGTCTCAAGGTATATTATTTCTGTGCAAAGTGTTTTATACGTATTTACATTGTATTTATATATATTGATATAATTTCTTATACACGTAATTATCAATTTATTCGTGAAAATGAATAAGACATGAAATAAGTAAAAGCAATTGCCTCTTGGTGGTAATGTAAGGGATTTCATGCCAGGTTGGTCAAACTCACAGCTTGCAGAATTGTTAATGCCCGATATTTCACTATAGATTATAAGGTACTATACATATATTATAAAACAAACTAGGGGAGAAGGGAAAAAGGATTTGACAGAGAAGTTTAAAGACAAAAAACGCTATAGTTTTTTCGTAATTTGTTTGTTGTTTTTTTTAACGTGTATATTTACAAAGACTATTATTTCGCTCAGGATCCCTTGCAGAGGCATGTCCAAAGCAAGAACCCTGTCCGAGAAGATGTCCATTTAGGTACAAGAAGGACGCAAATGGATGCAGAACTTGTCAATGTAAGTATCGAGAAGATTTGCAAGGTATAAAGGTTTTCTTGCTTATGAGAAAAGATAAATGACAAATTATATTTATTGAATGGCAATTCATCGTTATAATTACCATAGTGCAGTGCAGTGCTGGTTTTTAAAAACAATAATAACAACATCGATCTAATGGCAGATTTGAATCTATTTGTTGAAGGTCTTTATTAATTATTGGTTTATTATGCACTTCTGTAACTATATGAGCTTCCATATATATTCTGTCGGATATCCAAGTAATATTAAATACAATCCTGTTTTTAGGCTGTCCTGTCTTGCGCTGTCCATTTTGCTGGAGGGGATATATTATAGGCAAGGAGGAGAACCAGTGTATGTCATGTCATTGTAAATGGGGACTTTGAAGAATTGTCCGCCATCCCATACACCAAATTATCAACGTCGTCTCACTTTCCGTGAAAATTCCGTTCATACACTTTTCAATTTGCATTGCAGGGCTTTTTAATGCCACTGATATAAATTTTGAAAGGAAACCACATGTATGTTTGATTTATATTTATTTGAATCAAGCTTAAAGAGGCTGGGGGTTGTGGCCATTTTTAGACTATATTGATCTCCTTTAGAAGAAGAGCTCCATATGAAGATATAGAAAATGATCAAATTTTAAAACTAAAATTTTTGAAATTTTTCTTTGCCAAATGATAGTTGACAGCTTAAGATATCATATCTAAAAAATTAAGTTAAATCAGGTGGTTAATTTGTGGTTAATTTGTTGACCCCCAGCCTCCTTAAGCAGATTTTTATTGTAGAAAAATAATGCATTTTGTATTATGGTTAGAGATATATGTACAAAGAATCAAAAATAAAATTCTTTGAGCATTTATGTAATTTATCAATAAAACTTTTTAATACTCAGAGTCGCTTGCTTTTTGAGGGTACAGATGAAAATATTATTTTCCGGTTATGGAATTTATGTATTTGAATTCTCCAATTTGGGGCTTTCTTGGCATTACGACCTTGAGGTAACACTTCAAAAAGTCTTTCCTTCAAGCTGGCCATTCTTGTAGTCTTAGAATAGTACATACATACAATCATGAATTAAATGAGGGTGCATCTCAAAAAAAAAAAAAAAAAAAAAAAAAAAAAAAAAAAACTGAGACTCGTTTATTGTATCAATGGTCCATCTATTCCATCCAAAATATTATCCAGACAATAACTTGAAAACCCTTTAATATTTAGACTTAAAACTTGGAATATATATAGTTCTAAGAAGAGATTAAGACAAGCTGTACTGCAACAGAATTTTTGCGCATTCATTCATTTCTTGAATCAATGTTACACACACACCTTGAGCCCTATGTATTGATCAGGAAGACGGAAAATTCTGTGGTCAAAGGCCTAATAATTGGTATGAAACAAGTCAGTCAAAATACAACCCAATGACAGGTTATATTTGTTAACAAGGTCATTATAAAGACCATAGAATTTACGAAATGCCGAATTAAAACGAGGTTGTTGAAATCCCTGTAACATCAACTTATCTGTCAGTAGCCTACCTCGGTTAAAAAATTGATTGTACTCGGAGCATGCTCTTGAGTACCGAATAAGTTGGAAGATGCAAGCACCGTATACACATGATAGCGGGATATTACTATATAAATAATGAAAGCTGACAATGGAAAAATTTGAAGTCATCTTGTTTATCGTCTACAGTCAGTAAAACATCCAAATATGAAACAGATGTGGAAGACTCTGCTGTCTTTTATTTCAAGTTCTAAGATGCATTGCATTAAAGTTTTGACCTTGGCCCGTTATATGTATATTAAACTGTTTAAAATGTATGACATATCTCTTTTATCTAAGACCAAAAGTATATAAATCATACAAATTTAAATCTTGCTATAACTAAAACACAGATGGACAATTTTAACTTGAGAACTCTTTAATATCAATAGGGCGTTTAACTTTGAATAGGATTAGATGAGATGCACCTATTTTTTTAACCTTTACCTATTGCTTAAATCAAGGTCAAATGTAAAAAAACAACAACACATAAACCAATGGGATAAACAAAATATGCACTGTTTAATTCTTTTTTTCCTTCATCAATTTCTCTTTAAGATTGAATTCAAATTCAAAATTTCTCCAGGCTACAACTTACTGACCCTTACTGACTCTTATATTAAAGTCAATTTAAAAGAAAATACGTCTATGAAATATCTTGAGCCTTTTGAGATGTAGCCTTCAATCCTGGAACATGGAAAGATAGTATGCACTAAACATTTTTTGTTTTGCCTTGGCCTATTTCTTCAATTAAGGTCGCATTAAAAATATCCAAGCCATAACTTAGAACCCTTTAACATTACGACTTAAAGGTTGAAAAATGGAACGACGAAAGCAAGAAATAATGCGCTAGACAAACGTATTTTGACCTTGAATCATTTCTTTAACCAAATTTTAAAAAAAAATTTTTAAATTTCAAAAGTAAAAAAAAAAAAAAATTAAAAAAAAAAAAAAAAAAAAAAAAAATTAAAAAAAAAACAAAAAAAAAAACATAACTTGAAAAACCTTTGACATCAGGACTTAAGCTTGGAACGTGACATTTAAGAAAATGTTTAGAATCTGAGGATTCTTTGACACTAGAACATCAAACTTAGAATACGGAAACAAGACCCAGAGATTAAAGAGGTTCGTTCCTGAGCTTTTGAGCCGATTTTTGTCTTGACCTCTATTTAGAAAAAATCTTCATAATTTTTTAGTTTTTACAATAAATTTAGATTCTACAATGCTAATTTAACTACATTCAATTAAAACCCCATCATTAAATTCCATACCGAAAACATTAATCAAGGAACCAGAATACATGTATTTTGTGGCGGAAGGATTTTTAGAAGAAAATAATCATTTTTCTATTTGGAAGTATTTACAGTATTGTTAAGTTTGGATTCCTATTTTTACATGCAGCCTGCACACAGAGTTAATTTGTACAGTGAAATATTTTATGCTGGTCCTAAATTATATATAAAATTAATTGTCATGAATTCTATCATCATATTTTACATACGTATATCACAATAATATATTGTGAAAGTTCAGCGAAAAATATAGCCCAATTTAAGCTAAAAAATTAACACTTTTTAATAATATTTGAATATTAACATCATTCACAGACCCCCACTTTTAATTTTCTTTTCTGAATATATAAGATAATTTTAACCATTCTGCTTAACTTCAGTAAAATGTCATTACTTTCAATTGATTTCATTGCTTGTTAAATTTTTAATTCCAGAAAAATGACATTTTTTGAGTGCAGGAAGGTCAAATAATTGACTATGAGAAGTAATTTGAAACTTTTTTGTTGTAACAAATTTTAATGTGACTATTCAAGATGAAAAAAGACTTGTGTTTGGTCCCATAATTTATTTAGATAAACATATAAGAGGAAAAATTTTGAAAAATTGATTTATGTGTTAGACGTAATTACAGTGCAAAAATGTCATATTAAATGCTCCGTAGCGCCAAAGAAACGCATTAAACCCAATTTTTTTTTTGTTTTGATTTTTAATTAAGCTGTGTGTGTTGATATACTTGATAAAAAATTCTTAATACTTTTGATAACAGGATCCAACCTACTTAAAATGAGATGCACTACACCAAAATGTATGATCTTGAATCATTTATTAGATCAAGATTAAATAACAAAATATCAAGGTCATAACTTTAGAACCCTTCGACATTTAGATTTAATTTGAAACTTTGAATATAGTCTAGATTAAGTTGGATTGCACAGAACCCTAATGCTTTACAATGACCCATTGCTTTTATCAAGGTAAAAAAAAAATATAGGCCATAAATTAAGAACAATTCAAACATACAACTATAAAATATATTTTATCTCATAAATATATATTCTATCTTATTTTCTGACATAAATAGGGAAAAATTCAAGATATATAGCCAAGTTTAAATACTTTCATGTGTTTTAATTATAAAATATTGGACTACAAATATTGCATTCTTTCTTTACTAATTGATGTTGCTAACTCTTTATATATTTTTGTGTTCTGTGGTTTTAAGTTTTAATTTTACTGAAGTAAGAAGTGCAACAAAACTGTTTTATATTTATCAATGATCTTCATCTATCTTTACTAAAAATAAATTGAAAAAAAAAGTTTGATAATATTTGATGTTCAAAACATTATGTCCATCAACTAATTACAGACATTTTACAGTCAATTCAGAAAATAGTTTTCATCACTTAACACGCATTTTTCAATGCAATGTATATGTATTACACATTGAAACTAATCATGTCTTGAAGTCTTGAAAGTATGATTGATTGATGGATTGTATGTTGTTTAACGTCCATTTTTTTTTTCACTCATATAGTGACGTCACAAAATACCGGTGAAGGGCTTCAGATTTAGACCTTTACTCGGCACTCAGGGCCATTGCACAGTGAGTATTCCTCATCGTGCCAACGCCCACCATGACACGGGGCCTCGGTTTTGAAGGTCTCATCCGAAAGACCCGCAACTTTCACTTCAAGGTGCGCTTGGCGAAGGAACAGTTTCTACTTATTCTTTGTCTACTTAGGTCAGTCGCGGCCGTGATTCGAACACACGACCTTCCGATCACCGAGCGAGCGCTGTACCGACTGAGCTACCGTGAAGGTTTGAAAGTATGAAAAACATGCCGTAAATGATAAAAAAATATCAAAGCGACGAACTGATTTTCAATCTAAGAATGGGTTATTGTATGCCATAAATTTTTAAAACAATGTTAAATAAAATACTTATCAGATGTTAAGAGTGCAACACAATAATATAAAATAGGGTCACTTCAAAATCTATTTTTTTTTAATTGTATATCAAATCCTTTTTTTAGTATAGATTTAATTATAAAGAATTGAATTAATGGACAGAAAAGTAAATTGGAGGAAATTTATTGTTTCATATTTCTTTCATATTAAACCAGATTTGAAAATATAATGTAAAATAACAATCAAAAAGCCATTTTTCCACATATACAAGAGAAGAAACTCAATCAATGTTTAGATCTTTTAGGATGTAGTGATGTTTTCTTTTTTCAAATAAAGTTTTAAGCATAAAAGTTTTGACTTTTTTATTTAATTTTTCATTCTATTGCAGCATCGGGAATTTTCTAGAACGCATTTACAATTTGATGATATAAGTGAAAATATGTTATGGGTAGTTTAATTTTTTCAAGAAAAATCAATTTGTTGTCTTTTTTTTTTTAAAATTCATCCTTAAAATTTGTCGAGAAATAGAAAAATAATTGGTTCACAGTAAATGAAAAAGCACACCAATATAGTGCAGATTCAATATTGTTCATGTCATGACCCCTGTTGGTAGGGTGGGGCTAAAATTAGAGATTTAATTGCGGATAGGAAATTAAAAAAAAGAATAAAGAGTATAAGGGTCATACTACAACATAATTTAATATTTAAATATTACCAAGTTTATGTACATGTATTTGAGACTGAGTTCTTTTTTATCAGACTGTGAATCTTAGGATTGGGATGGGACTAACATGCAAATAAAATCTTACATAATGCATGTATATATTATATATATATATATATATATATATATATATATATAGAGAGAGAGAGAGAGAGAGAGAGAGAGAGAGAGAGAGAGAAACTTGTCCAACACAAGAAAGTCAAAATG